AATTTGTTGATGGAGGCTTCGTTAAAAAGTTATTAACAATTAAATTCAAACATTTCAAATCGTTCTGGAAAAATTATTTTCGGTTGCGGGGGTCAATTACGATCATTTTTGGTGAATACACATACCCTCGAAATCCTACCCACTTTCGAGAAAAAAATTCGAGAAGGTGAGATATTTTTCGACGGAAAAAAAAAATTTCTAATCGTTTAAAAAAAATTATTATCGGCTGCGGGGGTTAATTACAATCATTTTTGGTGAATACACATACCCCCAAAATACTACGCATTTTCGAGAAAAAAATTCCTTACCGAAAATCTAATTAAGTGCCTAAATTTTTGGACGAAAAAAAAAAATTTCCAATCGTTCTGAAAAAATTATTTTCGATTGCGGGGGTCAATTACATTCATTTTTGGTGAATAGACATACCCCCGAAATTTTAACCACTTTGGAGAAAAAAATTCGGGAAGTTATGAAATTTTTCAACGAAAAAAATATTTTAAAAATTATACTGGAAAAATTATTTTCGGTTGCGGGGGTCAATTACGATCATTTTTGTTGAATAGACATAACCCCGAAATCCTGCGCATTTTTGAGAAAAGAATTCAAAACGTGCGGAACTTTAAACGTTAATAACTTTTTAAAGAAACCTCCATCAACAAATTGGTATTCTTGCTTTTCGTCTTATTTTGGCCTCTAGAATCCCCCATTAAAATTTTTCCCAAGCAACGTGAATATAACGTACATCATTTTACAGCAACAAATTCATAGCTATCGAAAAATGGCGGAAACGAATCAGATATTGTTAATACTCGTCCATCGGTAACTAATTAGTAATCTGATACACCTACGGTATTGGAGATAAGGTATGCTGGAATTGACCAATTCCAGAAGAGTTTCCATCGATTATTATTTAAATAAATTTAAGAAACTATACGAAACGACGATTATTCTTCGAATACCTCGAGTAACTTCAATCCGATGAGCAACTGCTGCCTGTTACAACAGGTTACGACGCGCGTTTATGTAATACCAGTTTGACGGTTAATAGCATACGAAATGGCTGTTCAAACGCGTTCCGCGAATAGTGCAAAACCAGCTAGCGAAAGTAAACCGTTGGTAAACGCGAACTATGTTGGTCGTTCCTTTCCGTTTGAAACCTCGTCGACCTCTCGTTGCAAGAAGAAATCGTATCTTGAGTCTCAAATCAAAGACCGAATGTTATTCAATATTGATACCTCTTAATTATTCAAGTAAATACATAAATAATAAATGTAATATAATTAACAAAATTTCTACTGTCCGACTATAAAAGTGCTGTATTAATTATGTCCGCGTTAAATTTTTATTTGTCACCGTAAATTTTGTACAAAATTGTGCTTCTGCTCGTTAATTAATGGAAATAAATGAAACGTAAGGCCCCAGACTGCGTGACGACGCGGCCGATTAGAACGCGCACGAAACTAGAGAAATATCGTCGTTTCACCTTCGACGGAATCATGACGTGGCATTAATCGGCAAAAATTGCGCCGGTTTCTTTTTCGCGCTAAGAATGATCGTTCGAATTCGCGGGGAGAAAGGAATATTACACGAGCTGCAGACGTTCGTTTTCAGGAAGAACCTTCTGCAAAAAAAAGAACTGTTAGACGATGAGCCGTCTGTTGTTATTCAACCTTTAGTTTGCACAACTTGAGTCATCGAAGGACTTCTTTTTCCATCAGACAGTCGGAATCTTTGCTTTTGCTTTTTATTCGAATTGTAAAGAATTTATTAATTAAAATATTCCCTCTGTAAATTTTACATAATTCTTATTATTGTCAAATTTAATTCTCTGTACCAGTAAACCAACCGTTTATGAGTTTCTTGCTCTTATTCGAACGACACAGTCGAGAATAGACTTATAGCGAACGTTGACGGACATTAAACGTCTAATGCGATCCTGTGTTTACTTTCGAACTGTTATTTCGCGCAAATGTGCTCGTTGTAACGCGGTGGTCGAAAGCCGGCTTTCTTGCCACGTGCGCGAGGTATACTAATTAATTGGTAATTTATTACGCAGCAGTCGAGGTCGGGAATAACGGATGACTCATGGAATGCCGAGAGTTCGATGCACACTGAGCAGCAAAAAAGTTTTCGTGATGTCACAGATAACGATCGTATGGAATATATTAAAATTTATAATTAGTTCTGATATAGAAGTAATTTTATGATATAGTTTTTTCAATTTCGACACACTACTTTCCACAAGAACTCTCCTCCAATTGTATTCGCCTTATCGTTAACTATTAAATAAGGTACAAATAACTTGTCGATAATCGCCAGCAACATCTCTACAACAAAGAAATGTTTTTTCAATTTTGACACACTATTTTCCACAAGAACTCTTCAATTGTATTCGTCTTATCGTTAACTATTAAATAAGGTACAAATAACTTGTCGATAATCGCCAGCGACATCACTACAACGGTGAAACGTTATCACTAATAAACCCGAAGAAATGTTTTTTTACTTTATGTGTACAATGATTCAACGATCACGACTGACATCGATATTTATAAATTTACTTTCTTCGATAAGATTTTGCCCTGTGACCAATCGAGAAACCAGATTACCCAACGTTCTAGTAAACACTTGACTCACCGGGCCGCGAACGATCCTAACCTAAAACTCGAGGAGTTGAGAATCGTCGGGCTCTCGCGGTTAAAATTGTCATCCCGCGGAAACAGAGATTGCATAGATGACGGCGCCGTGATCGATAAACGCACGACCCCGAACGTCCACGCAAATCCAATTTTGGAACGGCCGTGTCATTTCTATAACGGGTGGACAAACTCTTCGTCGATTAACGGCCAAAACAAGAACGCGGCGTTCGTCCGGTGATTAATGGGTACGGCGAGAAAATATCCGGGTTCTACAATGCTTGGCCCCAGCCCAGGATAATTCCTCGAGCGTGGACTTGACATTGAACTTCCCGAATTACTTCTTTTCTCAACTTTTGTCTTCAAGTCGATCCGAACAATCCCTTAATTTTTAAATATTCATTTAATTTTAATTGACAATTAAAATATTCTAGACGACTCAACGTTCAACTTATACAGTGTGTTTGGCCCTGGGAAAAATTTGAATGGGAGATTGTAGAGGTTAAATTAAGACTAAAATCAAGAATATTAATTTCTTGATTAAGGCTTCGTTAAAAAGTTATTAACAATTAAATTCAAAAATTTCAAATCGTTCTAAAAAAATTATTATTAGCTAGGAGAGTTAATTACAATCATTTTTGGTGAATAGACATACCCTCGAAATCCTATCCATTTTCTAGAAAAAAATTCGAGAAAATGTGAAATTTTCAGCGAAATTAAAAAATTTCAAATCGTTCTAAAAAAATTATTATTAGCTAGGAGAGTTAATTAGAATCATTTTTGGTGAATAGACCTACCCCCGAAATCCTACCCACTTTCTAGAAAAAAATTCGAGAAAATGTGAAATTTTCAGCGAAATTAAAAAATTTCAAATCGTTCTAAAAAAATTATTATTAGCTAGGAGAGTTAATTACAATCATTTTTGGTGAATAGACCTACCCCCGAAATCCTACCCACTTTCTACAAAAAAATTCAAGAAACTGTGAAATTTTTCGACGAAAAAAAAATTGTTCAAATCATTCTAAAAAAATTATTTTCAGTTGCGGGGGTTAATTACAATCATTTTTAGTCATTACACATACCCCCGAAATCCTGCGCATTTTCGAGAAAAAAATTCAGTACGAGGGGAACATTAAACGTTAATAACTTTTTAACAAAGCCTCTATTAACAAATTGATATTCTTGATTTTTGTCTTATTTTAGCCTCTAGAATCTCCCATTTAAATTTTTTCCAGGGTTGTCTGAACACCCTGTATATTACTTATTTAAATATTTCAATTACATACGTACATACGTGTTCTCAATACTCTTACATCATATCATGAAAAACTATGTTCAACGGTGACTGAATCACGAGAAGATAAAGAAAGAAATATATATAGTTAGTCGTTTAGTAATTAGTGTTTTTCTGTTTTCTCACATTCGTCGATTCGTGGAAGAATACTCGATGCTCAGTGATCGTCGACGGTAATCTTCGATTCGAAACAAAACAGACGAGAAATTTCGATGTACGCGCAACGACGGCCTTGAGCTTCGCCCGAGCCAATGCTTTCGACAAAAATAAGATCAAAGGAGAGAAAACATCTAGATGAGTTTTACGGAACTGGTGACAACCAGTGCTCGCGCGCGAAGACTGGCAACTAAATTATGCAACCGCCTTTCGCGTATTCTGCCTCGAAACCGGAAGTTCTGGCGCGGTCATTCGCAGGAAGATTCCGTTTACGGATTTACGGCTCTGCCAATTTCAATTTACCTTAAAGCTACGGACGAATAAAAATGTGTAAAATGCTTTCAACTCTTTGTACTCTAACGTTGCTGTTACAGAACAAGAAAGTTGTTTTTTTGTCATTTTATTCCTCAATTAAGTATACTATAATTGTAGTTATATGTAACATTGCTAAGTAGCTACAACAAAGACTGATCAAAGGTTGCTATCGTTGAGGCCTGACATCTACACTTGGATGATGTGACGCACAGTGTTAGGACCGTTGCCACGACGATTATAAATTACGTGCAACTTACGAACGTTCTGAAAAACGAGAAATGTCCTTAAAAGTAATTGAAGCGTCAGGCGCTGATATGTTTAGATCCGTCACTGTGTCAAGAGCACAGAGAACCCCGGAACCGGCGTGCACAAGCTCGCGTATAGTAGAATAGGAAAATAGTCTCGGTGGTGGCGTTGCCAATTGGGAAGTATTTCGCAATGCATCGTTGCAATACGCGTGCAGCCGGAGACGTACGCGCGTGCTTGTTCCCGCTCTATGTTCTCATTCATAAACACCAACCGTCATTCATGCGCGAAACGACGATCGACGGAAAGAGAAAGAGAGACCACCGATCGCCTCCACGCTGATTCTTACTCACCGAATCGAGATCTCGAAACAACTCTCCCCCGCAGTCAGGAGACAGTCGACGATCCGTGGACCGCCGTGACGATTCCACGCTCGGCACACGACGTTGGGTAAAAATAAAGTTCGAGTTAACACGCGTCAGCCGAGGAACGAGAGAGGATCCTGATGCACCACTGATACGCCGTTCCGTATACTGGAACGACCAAAGTTTTCGAAATATTTTCCGTTACAGCGGAGAAAGAGGTTCGCGTGCTGGCGCAAATCCGCTCTGCACGAGCAACCGAGTCGAACTGAGCCACCGACGCGAGAACCGCCGAGATACATACACAGTTATCGTGCTCGCAGCGCGCGTGAACTATGCTCACCGATATACAGTGGCGAACAAAAGTAGTACCAGCACAGTCGTGACATTTATCATAATACAGCGGTCTACGGTTTGGTTTCACTAAAATCTACACGGTTCGGTTTTCACGATTTATCCCCACCATTAACCCCCCACCAACGATTTTCACCCGGTAACGAAAGAGAGAGAAACAAGGCTCGCAAGCAATATATCAAAATATTATGAAACTTGATGGAGCAACATATATAAATATAAATAAATAAGTGAAACTATACGTAGCGAATGTAATGATAAACTGCAAAATAAAAAGTGGAATATAACAATTAGAGCACGAATAGTTAACTATAATTGTGTAACTGCCTTTAAATGTTTAGAAAGTGCTATAAGGAAACGTGTATCTTTTAGATCAACTGCTGGAAAAAGCTCGGCAGGGAAGTGATTAATGTTCAGTCAACCATATATAAGCGACTACATTATCGATGAAACAATTATGTAGTATATCAAGGAACAAAAAAACCGTTGTCGTGACGTCGTAGAAATGCAACAAGGCTGTCGTGACGTCACAAAGGAGCAATAAAGCTGTGACGTCAATTTTTCAAATTGCTAAGATGACATCGGTTACGCTCAAGTGGTAGAATTATTTTGCTGAACGGATATCGTGCATCTTCCGTGCATTTACGACGTCACAACTATTTTGCTCTCCAGTGTACAACTAACGACCAACATATAACTAGATTCTATTTTTTCTAAACTTTTGGTTACGTCAATACTTTTGTAGGTTAGTGTACGTGTTGTTGCAAAGGACACGCGACTGTGCGTAAATTCCAGCGCTAAGGGTCATGGCGTACGGCGTTTGCGTTGGCGTTCTGTTACTTCTAAAACGTTTCAGCAATGCCTTCGAACATCACAAGTATCAAACTAAGTTCAGGAGAGTTTGAAAATTGTTATAATATGGAATCGAAACTGTTACGAAGAATAGATGTTCCTTCGACCAGAACTTTCCTATAACGGTTTGAAAGAATTATTTCGGAACCCTTTCCAGTCCTGATCGAAACGCTGCGTAGCAAAATATCACGGCAAACGGGTCATGTGTCACAGCCCCAATTCACAAACGTGAAACCGAGACGGAAAAAACACGCGACTCCAGTTTTCGTAAACGGGCGGCGTTCTGATTGGCCGTTGGTGTCGGACCAGCAACCGAGCCTCCTTCCACCTTCCGCCTGAGAAAGAAAGGAAGGAAATCGCGTCAGATCGTCGACCCAAATCGCTCGTCGAGTAACCGACTTGCGACGACGCGATAAACACGTGCGGATGGATTTTAAAAAAAACATTCCCTTTGGTGTCACGCCACCGGGACCTCGAGTCACACTCCTATTTCGATTCCTTCTTCCTATCTGTTCGTTCCTTCGTTTTTCTTCTCCCTCTGTCGAAAAACGCTACGTGGACCACAATCTGCGTATTTTTAACTTCCACGCGGGGATAGGCCTAATTTTTATCTAGATACAAATCTCGAATAACAAACGAGAGGCACTGATGCAACTTTCACCCCTTCCAGGATTAAGTTAGGTTAGGTTCAGTAGAGATGGGAAGATTTATACAGGGTGTTCGGATACGCCTGGGAATAATTTTAAGGAGAGATTCTAGAGGCCAAAATAAGACGAAAATCAAGAACACTAATTTGTTGATAGACGCTTCGTTAGAAAGTTATTAACGTTTAAAGTTCCGCCCATTCTGAATTTTTTTCTCGAAAGTGAGTAGGATTTCGGGGGCATGTGTAATGACTAAAAATGATTGTAATTGAGCCCCGCGACTGAAAATAATTTTTCCAGAACTATTTGAAATTTTTTTTTTCCTTCGAAAAATTTCACACCTTCTCGAATTTTTTTCTAGAATGTGGGTAGGATTTCGGGGGTAGGTCTATTCACCAAAAATGTTTATAATTGACCCCTGCAACTAAATATAATTTTTTTAGTATGATTTGAAATTTTTTAATTTCGTCTAAAAATGTCGGTACCTTCTCGAATTTTTTTCTCGAAAGTGGGTAGGATTTCGAAGGTATGTCTATTCACCAAAAATGATTGCAATTGACCCCCGCAACCGAAAATAATTTTTCCAGAACGATTTGAAATTTTTGAATTTAATTGTTAATAACTATTTAACGAAACCTCAGTAGGAAATTGATATTATTTCTTATGTCTTATTTTGGCCTCTAGAATCTCCCATTAAAATTTTTCCCAGGGATGGCCGAACACCCGGTATGTGTACATGTATTTTGAATAACGAATAAAGATAAACAACTTTTCATATATTATTCGTTGAATAAAAATTGAAATTTACTATCTGTGTAAACATTCCCCATGAAACTCTGTTATTGTTGAAACAGTTATTGCGCATGTAGTACGTTATAGCAAGAGATATCTCCATACGCTTAACGACAATAACAGTAAGTACAATAATAGAGAGATTATAGAACGTCGAAAACAACGACGCCAGAAGCTATATGTGGCGTTGTTTGCTTCGTAGTTGAAGTGTTTACGATCTAGGAAAGTGAGGTTAGGCTAACCGAAACGGAAGCGAGCGCGTGCGCGCGTATCGAAAAACAAATTTCGCAACGAATACGTAATAACATGAAACGTCACTCGGGCAACACACGCCCACCAAATTGAGCCCTCCCATTGGACGAAAACCTGCCTAACGTTCGTCGACAAACAAGATTGTTTTGCAGTTGTTTATCTCGATTTCGTCGCCGCGTAGAGCACGCCAGGAAATCATAGAATCACCAGGCCCCAGGAAACATTGCGTAGGCGTTTCCACTACGCGATGAGGGCGTCTTTGACCTCGATATTGTTACACGACAAGCCCGACGTTTACACTAACACCGATACCAATAATGGGATGTTAATTGAAAAGTAAATCTAATTAGAAACTTCCAACGTGCGAGAAATTGCGAAACACTTATTGAAAACAGTCTATTTGTACAAACGTGGGTGGCCATCTATTGTTTCCTTATGTTTCGAAAGTTAACCGATCCTCGGATTGAGAGACACTGAGCCAAAGCTTCGGTTCCGATACGTTTTCCGAAGTGGACAACCAATCGATCGAAAATACGTTCGAGCATGTAGAGCAACGACCTTTCGACGAACAAAATATTTTTCAATAGGTAACCGTGTTGGGAAAAACTCTCGGTTCGTGTTAAAAAAGAAAGAAAACGAATGGGAAACGATAAAAAGTATTACAACGGAAGTAAACAACGATTAACTTATTTTGTTCGCGTTATCTTACTCGTGCACGAAGATAGTATGCATCGTATTAACGGAAAAACGATCGTATAATTGCGTTTCTCATTTCTCCCGATCAAAATTGTCGTACGAAAGATATCAACGTATTGTTATTATAACGCGTATGTAGATGAATATCTAGCTGGCACACGAGCTACGCCGCAGCGGCTGTAAAACGCGAAAATAAATAGAAGCGTAAAAATAACAAGCGAATTACATTAGCAAGTTACGAGCTCACAGCGCGATAACAATTTTCTAATTAAGACGAACAAATTCCGTCTTAAACACAAGGTTACATTACACCGACGTTTCAACGTTTAGGGACTAAAGACTCAATTACTGTCTCCTGACCAAATCATAACATTTTAGGATTCATTTGGTATAATTCTTTTGTGAATTATTCTAAACTAAGAAGGATCAAAACGTCATTATAATATGAGTTTGTAAAGTTCGTTTTATCGTACATTCACAATGAGCTTTTTGTTGAATCGAAATTCTGTAATTTGTTTGTTTATTTCGGGATTGTAAATTATACAGCGCGTTATTCTTTCCGCAAATACGCTTCGAAACATGCACTACGTGGTGTACATGGTTCGTAAAAACAAAGATCGATCAAACTTGTTTACAAACGATGTAGAACGTTCTTTGTTCGTCGCTCTTTTACGGTCGACAACTTCAAGTGTCACTTCGACCGAGTCGCTTTTTGCTCGTTAACGAACTTTTTCTACGTGTTCTCTTACCTTTATCCCTAACGTAGGGTTAAGCTGTTCGATTTAAGGTTAGGTTGCAGAGCGGCATTAAAGTTTGCCATATCACCGTACCACAACTAATGCTTCTAGTTTTAGTCCTCTTGTTCTATGAAGTTCGATTATAAATAATTGGTACACAAGCATAAAAAGTTTAATTTGTCATTTTCTATACATAGTATTTTATTTCGTACACGTGTAGCAGTAGACATATATCTAACTAAAGGGATAGCCTACTTTTTTTTAGCAAGCAGCTGTTAAGATTTATTTTTCATTGTGAAAACGTATAATGTCTATCAAGAAGCATTATGATGTCTATATAAAAGATCTCTTTTGCAAACTGTTCAATTGAATAAACGTTACGAATAATGTACTGAATTTTAATTCGAATTTTAAATAAAATTTTGATCGTATCTCTCTTTAAAAAAATAAGCAAATACAGTTGTTAACTAAACTCGACCGAAAGGTGGCTTGTAATCTTTTAACGAACGAGTTAATTAACGTCGCTAATGTAGAACGTCGAGTCGTGTGGTAAATAGCTGTGGATTGATCTCCGCGATGGCACCACATAACGAGCGATGGTTTCCCGCGTCGATAATATCGATGAATCGTCATTCTCTGATAAGTCGGTTCGTGTCTACGCTCAATGACATCGTTTTTGTTGTCAAGTTGCAACGATAACGATTGTCACGAAAACACAGTCCTCGGATAAGTATGCTAATTAAATTCGAAACTGTTTCGATTAACCGAACCACGAGGTCGTGGAAAAACACGCTAACTCGAACGAAACAAATTACAGTAAGAACATTGTATGGCTTCGAACAGCAGTAGAGAAAAAACCGTCGAAACAAGCGACATTTAAATGCGACGGAAAGTATTTTCTTTTACCGACGCCACGTTCGTCTGCTGCATCGTAGCGATTGTGCTCGCTACTTCGACCGAATCGAACAGAGGACACGTAAACAGAACTGGTCTTTGGTCGAGCAACGATTTCGAGAACAATGAACCACGCTACGATCATTGTTTCGTAGAGGAAGGGCTTTGTTTAGATTTCACCGAGTACATAGACGATTTTTTCCGTCTTGCATCGGAATTTTTTCTTAGAAACGAGTTGGATCCCATGACGATTCCCGACATTCATCGAAGCTTCCGGTTGGTGAGTGTTCGATACGTTTGCAATTCGTGGCTTTTCGCGCGACGCGAAACAGACGTCAAGGCGAACATTAATTCAATGCCACGATCACACGTTACGCACAGATGACGCGATTAACGCTTCTGTGCGCTGATTAACACGTTTACTAACCCGTGGTAGACACGGGTAATATTTCACTCGAACAATAGCCAGTAAAACCAATACGTAGCAATTTATTTGATATTTGAACTTTTATTTAACCACACTTAAATAAGAGGTTAGGGACAATCACGAAAATTCGAACGCCTCGGACAACATCTTGGGGATCTGGGTTTCGAGGTCGAAATGAAGTTTGAAGGTCAGTGGGTCAACGAGCGAAAGGGAATGCGAACTCGCGCGAGACACACGATCGACGAAAGCGAAATCGACGAGGCGTTGAACCTCTCGAACGAAAACGACAGTGAATCGGCCGTTGAACCATCCTTACCGAGAATCGTTCCCCTCGGTTCCATGCAACCGTACACCGCTGTTCCAAAGATCCGTTACCCGACTGCATTCTTCGCGTTTCGATCCCAAGTCGAGCGAAATCGAAAGCAGACTCTCGAGATGCTCGGTGATCGTCGCGCCGCGACGCGACACTGAACCTGAGCGCTTTCGATCTCTCGCTCGTAATGTCGTACTGTCTCGACCTTCGACGAGAATAAAGTTACAATCGAAACAAGACTCGAACCACGACCACATGATTGTAGTTCTTAGAATGTTTATAAATGTAATAATTCGAGGCAACTCGTATCAACGAGTGTACAGATAGCCCTCCTATAACACTGTACTTCTACAGCACTGGATAACATGATTTTTGCTTAACATATTTAATAATTAAATTACCTTAAAATAATGAATTATGGTGGCTTTACATGAAAATATATAAACAGATTATAATTTATTAAATTAAGGTTACGTTAAATTAAAATAATATTGTTTGTTTTGTAACTTTTTGTACTGGCTCTGGGTCTCATGTAACACGGTTTCACACAACACGGAATTTTCTGGGAACCTATCTACCGTGTTATAGGAGGATTATCTGTATTTAAATGCAAACCGAAGTATATTAAATCCATTTCGGTGTTACTCTGCCAGAGACACGTAAGCGGAATTGAATGTTGTCGCGTGGGTCTGGTTGAACGCGTAACCTACTTCTCCTGAATGATTCAAGGCAAATGATCGTTGGATCTGAACTTGAACCAAGGCGAAAACAAACGTTCCTTTGCATCGTCACGTTGATATTTAAAATTAACGCTAGATTCGCGGTCACCGATTACACATATTTCTATTAAAATTTATTTGTGACAATTGAATGAAATATAACGGGATCGTTATCTCGATTAATTAACTTTGTATAAAATTTTTCCGTATCGCGGCTGGCGATTTCATTTATCGATGCATATCAGTCGCAAGTAAGAAAGCAGGAATAAAAAAAATAGAGCTGTTGAAACATTTGCGATTTAAAATGATAAGAGCCGATTGTGGAAACCAGGCGGTTTTATCGAAGCACTATTGAACTTGATCTCAAAATAAAATATTATGAAAATCATTGTTCTTAATCCACGGGATTATGTTTTTCTTTTTCTGAGAAACCCAACAGACGTCTTTTCAATCTGCAGGTAATAACTGTGCAATTGACGCGATATGAAATCTTCATGAAGCTAAAAGAAAAATATTACTTTAGTATTGTGAAACGATTAATCGTAATCGTACTCGATTACGCCTGGGTATTGTGCAATCGTGAGATCATCTGTCGCGTTATTACATAGGCTGAATTTATCAATAAACTGTTGTTCAGTATTGGTAAAAAAAAAAAAAATAAACTTAGATTTAATTTTGATCAACGTTGAAATTATAATATACACGTGATATGAAATTGTTATTTTCGAATAATAACTTTATATCGGACCTCGAGCTTAAGGAAAAAAATTTCTAGGAAAATTTTATTTGCAAATCAGTTTTGAAAATATTCAGCTGTTGGAATGTCTCCGCATTTTGTTTTCAGCCGTTCCTATTTCTGCCTACAAGCTACGACGAATTAACATACTACTTCTCTTCAGGATCGTTGTATTATCTATCCGAATTTAAACGGGCTGGCGGAGCCATTGGCGTCTACAAAGACGAAACACTGAGTATCGACGCGAGCATCGCGTTTGACAGCATTTTGGTAATTCTGTCACGTGTCGTTTGTCGACGTTTAAATTTAGATTAATCTAAAACACGTTTCATTTGCCTGTTCAGTTCACCTACGATTATTTCGTGAGACTCCTGTTCTTGGAAAATTACGGAAGAATAATCGCGGAGGCAACATCGATACGACTCGACATAGGCGTCGATTTTAACATCATCGATTGCAAGTTCGTTCTGAGAAAGCTCAGACTGACCAGCGTCGAGTACGCGCTTTTCTTCTTTATCGACAAACGTCTTTTCTAAAGAAATTATAATCCAGAAACAATCATTCTTATACGTGGAAATTTTTACGAAATTTAACCGTCCACTACACTGTATACTGACCAGGTGTACTTTTCACAGATCCATGACAATGACTCTACATGGCAACAGCATGGCGGAACGATTGATTATACCCATTACCAACGTTGGCATACGTTTGGTAAAAAAATTGTTGACCGAGGAAATCGAGAAAATCGCGACTGAGATGTTTCAAGAACATATCGAACTGATGAACGAAAACATTTCGCCGTGGAAGATTCTTACGTTATTAGCAACGACGTAACTCAATGTGAAAAAAATGTATTAAATTATTTATTATTAAAATATCTTTAAAATCGTCAATTATAAAATGTACGATATCTCGAAAATTTTAATGGGAGATTCTAGAGGCCAAAATAAGACGAAAATCAAGAATACTATTTTGTTGATAGAGGCTTCGTTAAAAAGTTATTTATGTTTAAAGTTTACATTATCACGCTATGGTGCGCGCGCAGCTGTTCGCAGATTGCCGTTCTACAGGCGTAACTTTGAACGTTAATAACTTTTTAACGAAGCCCCGATCAACAAATTGGTATTCTTGATTTTCGTCTTATTTTAGCCTCTAGAATCTCCCATTAAAGTTTTCAAAAGCCTTCGTTGGCCATTATTTACATTTGAATTTTTTTTCTTGAAAATGCGCAGGATTTCGGGGTATGTCTATTCACCAAAAATGGTTATTATTGACCCCCACAACTAAATATAATTTTTTTAGTATGATTTGAAATTTTTTAGTTTCATCTAAAAATTTCGATGCCTACTCGAATTTTTTTCTCAAAAGTGGGTAGGATTTCGGGGGTATGTCTATTCACCAAAAATGCTTATAATTAACCCCCTCAACTAAATATAATTTTTTTAGTATGATTTGAAATTTTTTAATTTTTTCGAAAAACTTGTCCACCTATTCGAATTTTTTTCTCGAAAGTGGGTAGGATTTCGGGGGTATGTCTATTCACCAAAAATGCTTATAATTGACCCCCGCAACTAAATATAATTTTTTTAGAATGATTTGAAATTTTTTAATTTTTTCGAAAAACTTGTCCACCTATTCGAATTTTTTTCTCGAAAGTGGGTAGGATTTCGGGGGTATGTCTATTCACCAAAAATGCTTATAATTAACCCCCTCAACTAAATGTAATTTTTTTAGTATGATTTCAAATTTTTTAATTTTGTCTAAAATTTCGATACATTCTCGAATTTTTTTCTAGAAAGTGGGTAGGAATTCGGGGGTATGTCTATTCACCAAAAATGCTTATAATTGATCCCCGCAACTAAATATAATTTTTTTAATATGATTTGAAATTTTTTAATTTCGTCTAAAAATTTCGGAACATACTCGAATTTTTTTCTCGAAAGTGGGTAGGATTTCGGGGGTATGTCTATACACCAAAAATGCTTATTATTGATCCCTGCAACTAAATATAATTTTTCCAGAACGATTTGAAATTTTTTAATTTAATTCTTTAATAACTTTTTAACGAAGCCTCAGTCAAGTTGATTTCCGTCTTATTTTGGCCTCTAGAATCTCCCATTAAAATTTTTCCCCGTGACGGCTGAACACCCCGTATAAATTATCGATACACAAACGTAACTAAAAAAAAAAATGCAGAAAATATTTGAACGCGGACAAACAAGTCGCGGATGAGCTAATTCAAAATGTAATCGTTTACTCGTTGTAATGTGTGTAAGATAGCTTGTAAAATAATCACTTTTGCATTCGTCTTATCGAATTGTTTTAATTTATGTAATTGTACGGTAACAAAAGTTTTTGACAATAAAAAAAACGATAATGTCGATAGGATACGATAAGTCGATAAGATGCGATCAGATAACGAAATAAAATGTCGATAAAAGACGAACGGGAGCGGTGATCGAATCGTTCGTATTTTCTACCTTCGACTAGATTCTTCGACACGCACAATGATCGCTCAAAGTCGCCTGCTCTTGTTGCTCGTCGCGTCCTCTTTGGTCGCTGTGGGTTACGCGCATCCCGACCTCCAGTAAGTTTTCAAAGCCACGACAAACGTTTTTTACGATCACAGGATGCTCTAACTTCAAACACAGTAATCATAATTCACGCACAAAAACACAACAAAGTTTTTTGTATTATTTAATTAATTTGCTTAATTCTGCACAACTTTATATCCTGTAATCGGGGACCCTAATTATCACAGACTAAAAGAGAACCAATTACTTTTCAATGTTCGTTTTCTCGCGTTGCAGAGTGTACGATGGCGGCAATGGAAGGGTATCGGTGAAGATCAACGAGATGTTCGACGAGATGGTGCCCACGCTTCAAGAAATTATCTTGAAAGACTCGTTGGACCCACTGCCGATGGCCGATTACTCGAAGCAGCTGGTATTTATCTCTGTTCGCTCTATCGTATTCGGTGTTATCGAAAGTATTGTTCATTTTTCTTAAATGTTTTTTAAAAAATTCACGTGCATCGAAATTATTTCCGTTTCGAGTAATTTCGTGGATTTCTATATAATAGTGTACTTTTGTTACGCAGAGTGGGATCCTGGGTCTCAAAGGATCTCTCAGCATGACGAATGGTCAGTTGGTAGGACTGTCGACGATAACTCGCGGCGACGACATCATTCTGTCGTACGACAAGAAGACTCTGACGATAGACATCTCTTTGAAATTCGATATCCTCGACGTAAGATAAAAAAGACGTTACCGAGCGGGAACACGAGTCGTGCGAGCGCTACTAATAATAACATTACTTTCTACGGAAACTTTCAGCTGCAATACGACTACTATCTCAAATACGCAATCATATCGAGAAAGGGAAGCTTCGACGGTCGCTTCACGACCATGAAAATGCGTACAATAGTATCGGTGGACTTCGACAGCTATAAAATCGCTCTCGATTCGGTCAAGATTACAGCTATCCAGTAATTATAATTATTTATTTCATGGGAATATAACTCTACGTTGCTTGTTAAACATGTTAAATTCGTTTCTAGTATAGTTCGGGCCACAATATAGCTAGGTCGTAAATTAAACTTTTGGGGGTTAGGATCGACTACTGCTACGACACTTAGGGCCGTACATGACATCTTGCTTGAGGGTGCCTTTCTGAATGTCTTTTTGTGTTCATAATTGCACTACCTTTTTTCATTTTCCCTGGGAAAAATTTTAATGGGAAATTCTAGAGGCCAAAATAAGACGAAAGTCAAGAATTTCAATTTGTTGATAGAGGCTCCGTTAAAAAGTTATTAACGTTCAAAGTTCCGACCGTATTGAATTTTTTTCTCGAAAATGGGTAGGATTTCGGGGTTATGTCTATTCACCAAAAATGCTTATAATTGACCCCTGCAACTAAATATAATTTTCTTAGTATGATTTGAAATTATTTAATTTCGTCTAAAAATGTCGTTACCTACTCGAATTTTTTTCTCGAAAGTGGCTAAGATTTCGGGGGTATGTCTATTCACCAAAAATGATTGCAATTGACCTCCGCAACCGAAAATAATTTTTCCAAAACGATTTGAAATTTTTGTTTTCCGTCGAAAAATTTTACACCTTCTCGAATTTTTTTCTAGAAACTGGGTAGGATTTCGGGGGTATGTCTATTCACCAAAAATGATTGCAATTGACCCCCGCAACCGAAAATAATTTTTCCAAAACGATTTGAAATTTTTGTTTTCCGTCGAAAAATTTTACACCTTCTCGAATTTTTTTCTAGAAACTGGGTAGGATTTCGGGGGTATGTCTATTCACCAAAAGTGATTATAATTGACCCCCGCAACCGAAAATAATTTTTTTAGATCGATTTCAAAAATTTTTTTTCCGCCCAAAAATTTCACACCTTCTCGAATTTTTTTCTCGAAAGCGGATAGGATTTCGGGGGTATGTGTAATGACCAAGAATGATTGTAATTGACCCCCGCAACTGAAAATAATTTTTCCAGAACGATTTGAAATTTTCGAATTTAATTGTTAATAACTTTTTAACGAAGCCTCCATTAAGAAATTAATATTCTTGATTTTCGTCTTATTTTGGCCTCTAGAATCCCCCATTAAAATTTTTCCCAGTTCCCAATTCCGTCAAAATGCCGGATATCGAATATTTTCCTTAAAAATTATTGACACCATTATTTATGTTGGAACGATTTGACACTATTATAAGCAGGTAAATTAAGGTATTAAAGACTTGAATAAGTCCTTTATCTATTACGATACCTCTAAAAATGGCTTTCATAAAAACATTTCTTCGTACGGCCCTGACTATGGTCTAAGGCCCTTAGCTGCTCGTATTTCTGTCAATTCACTTGTCTGTCAATTTACTCGAGTTTAGGACCTCGCTATATTGTGTCCCGAACTATACATATACCTTGCTGTATTTATTGTTATTTTTATACGTTTCTGTTTTTCCTTTTGATAAAATTTTGTTTGAATTTTAGGAAACTGGACGTTAATCTCGAGGGCCACGCGTTCGACAAGGTGGTAAACGCTGTAATGAAAGTTCTTGTGGACGTATTTAAGAAGGATGTCGTGAACACGATCGAAACACGATGCGCGGCGACTTTCGAAAAGGCTCTGGGTAAAATCAATGGACTGCTACCGAAACCCGACGGTCAACTCGCAAGATACATCGAATACGACTTTTTGAAAAACGTTCCAACTACGTTCACCTACACCCTTATTTAAAAAACTGCAACTGTCTTTTAATCGGGAATTGGAAACTGTTATAACATGGAGTTGAATTCTTATAAAACTTTTTTTAATTTACTAACCTTGCTAAACGATATTAAACATCTTACACAGAAAACAGAGAATCATTGATCCACTGTAAAGCGTAAAAGTTACTAATAAAGAATCGAATCCTCGAATGAAAAATTACAAATTTCAGTCTTCGAAATCACCTTTCGTAACCCACTTAACTTACGTTTTCCATATTTTTGTTAATAGAAATTTTTTGATTTTTTGATTTATTTTTGCTTTATTATTTCAACGATGATCAGATCTTTTTATGAAAGACGATATTCGGTTTAGTCGATAAAAATATTCAATCTTATTGCTGAAACGATGACTCGTGCTTTTTAATAAAGAATCGTTACATCGTTATAGAGACAGGTTTAAACTTCAACGTCATCGTGGCTCTCGTCGATACGAAGCTGGAATAATAATGCATGCGAAAGCACGCCACGATTTCCAAGCTCGTGTAATATATTCAAAATTCCCCGACGACCCCGGAACTTAAATTAGTCTGAATTCGCAACAGTCTCATCTAACTTTCCGATCTCGAGACCTAAGTAATTAAAGGAAAGGCCGCGTTGTTCGGTTCCTCCGTTATTTTCGGCAGAGTTCTCATTTGTTTAACCTCTTCACGCCCTTGGCCACATATGTGGACGTTTAGTTTTATTTTTTATAATTATAGTTACTTGTCGATAATAAATAGACCCAAAAAAAGAAGAAAAAAAAAATCGTCCCTGAAGAGGTTAAACGTGACAATTAATAATGCAAGTTTCATAGTCGACTGCCATTTTGTCTCTAGAACTTTGAATTAAATAAATCTATGGTATTCGTACAAGAAACATTTTTGTAAAGGTTCAAAAAAACAAAGTACACTTTTGGCAAACCTAACGCAGGTGTTTCATCCATTATCGTAATGAAAACATTCGATCGGACGTAATTAATTAAGATTGAATCGATCGATAAAAAAATAATCGAAGACAAACAAATAACAATAAGAGTTACTCTGATTGGAAAGATTTATTTTTTGAAAAGCTCATTATCAGAAGAAGTTCGTCGAGATTTATTGTGTCTCGATAAACAGTCAACCTGATTTAATCTAAAAATATCGTAGATTATGAAAAAATGAGTTTTTCAAAACGTGTGGAGTAACTATAAATATCAATGCCATTATCGGAATTGTGATCGATGAACAAATAAAAGGTTATGTCTGTTTTTCAAATATTTCGAAAAAATCGATATTATTTTAAGCGTTACGTGTGATTCGAATGGAGACCGTGAACAATCGACAGACATCGTCAGAGATAGATCATTGTGTCACGTACGAGGATATCGTTCCCTGCGGCCAGAGATAAACGCATTCTACGGTTACATTCGGTGTACCTGAATTGCGTTTCGTAGATTGAATGAAACTCAATATGCAAGCAAGCAGCTATTGTCCGTCTTCGTGCAATAGCAATCTGCACCACTCTGTTATCGATCGCGATACCTGCGCACGTAAGGAGTACATATTCGACTTAGGTATACATATGGGTTGCTCGTAATGGCACGTCTATTCCAAAGTAAAGTTTTATGAGACAGAAATCGACGATAGTCTCCACAGACACGATGTAAAAAACTATACGAATCTATGGACAACGAAAAAGCTAAATACATTTGTTCGTGTCAAGTATAAAGTATATGTACTCGGATGCATTACGAATTATAAGCTTTCTTTACAAACTTCCGAACGTTGGTAAAGATACATGGTTGAGATTCTAAATGTTCCTTCGATTGTATTAGAAAACAAAATTTGTGAATACCTAAAAGCACTGCAGGGTCTCGTATTAACTCTTGTTTAGCGGAGCACTGGTTCGAAACATTGATTTAACGAATGTTTTAAAACGTCAAGGAGTCCATTTTCACTCGAGCGCCAAGAAGGGTCTGTAGATGAAAAGGTTAAGAACTACTAGTTTACGTTATTCGCTACTGTTATATACTGTCGCTTGTACCGCCAAGAGGAATGTTCACCCCGTTAAAATATGTTAATATTATTGTTTGAATAAAAATTTTACCCATTTCTGGCGTTAGGGTCGCAGCATCGACGAGCGAGGCGCCGTTACGAAGCCGAATCGAGCCGAGCCGAGCCGAGCCGAGCCGAGCCGAGGAAGGACGAACCACCCGTCCCGGTGGCAGATGCACGCTCTCTAACCAGCAACTGTCAAAACAGCCTTGCGGTTTCGCATCGATCGAGGAGGAAACGTCCGCAGGACGACCAAGTATATACCGTGCTCGACGTATGGCGGATATTTCCTTTTTCTTAGATTTCTCGGCGTAAAACCGGGCCACGAAATAGAGAACTCGTAAATACGATAACTCGAGATACGTACTACGCGTCGATCGATCGAAGAAACGTTCCCGCGAAAAATTATGTTCGTGGACTTACTTCGAATTTTGCTTTTTACCGTTGTGCTCGAACGTATAATAAAAAACAGTATCGCGCGATAAGAGGAAGAAAGGGTGGGGGATTAGAGAACGGTGAATCAGCGAGTGGCAGGATTAAGATGAACGAAATCCGAGCGCGAGAATGTGGAAAAAGAAAAGCGTCGCGTGATAGACGGAAGGAAGGGTGGTTGGGTTCGGTTTGCGTTAGAGATGGACAAAATTTCATTCGATTAGTAGAGAACGAATAGGATCAATATACAGCGCTTTATTCGTGTCGTTTATTCGATTTGACGATCAATGGATAAAGACTGCTAATATTTTATTCTTGTTTACATTGCCGTATTCTGGTTTTTGTATACGTCTCGATCCTAATTAATTTCTTTCTAATACTAGATTTACACTTTTATATTACGCATTTTGTACCGAAGGGTTCTCCCGTTAATAAATATTCGTTTATCTCGATACTCGAACTGTTTATCTAGATAAGAATTTTGTCCATCTCCAGCGGAATAGGTATATCGCGGAGTCCAGTGGAGAATCGCAAGCGGTGACGAGCTGCAGCGGAGCGGTGGCGCGCGAGGCGACGCCGAGTCAGGCCGAGCCGAACCGAGCGGAGCCGAGCGCAAGCTCGAGCGAGGCCGAAGCCGAAGCTGAAATCGTGGGCAAAAGCGAAGGAAGGCTCGGACTTTGGGCTCGGCGCGGTAGCGCTGGCTAGCGAGCAGGCGGGTAGCGTATTCGCGAGCGGACGAGAACGTGCGCGTGTCGTCTCAAGTTAATAATCGACCGCTGTCGTTTCGGTCGAACGACGGAGAACTACATTTACTTTTTTGAGACGGGTGCGCGTCTTCCCGGCTGATAGCGCGCGTGTTACCGGCCGTGTATGGACGACGGCACGCGTGCACGAGTCGAGGAGGAAAAAGCCCTGGATTCGTCTCGCCTGCGATCCTCCGCTCGGCTCGGCTTCGCGAGCTCCTCCTCGACCGGCAACCCTCGTATCACCAGGCGCAAGAGGAGGAAGAGGAGAAGGCAGCAACGACGAAACAGTAACGCCGACGACGAGGACGAGCTCGTCGTCGTCGGTGGCATAGACACCGTTGACGAAACCGCCGACGCGACTTTCGCGATCGAGGAAGAACCGAACCAACAGTCGGGCGTATCGGCGATTCCCAGCGAGGAACCGAGCAAGCAACAAAAAAATCGGCTCGTTCACAACACCAACGAATCTCAACGAAACGTATCCAGAGGAAGCGGCACGCGCGCGGCTGCTTCCTCCCTCAATTCCGGCATCACGCTGCTCAACCGTCGATCCGCCGGCAAGCGATCGTCCAGGAGATGCAACACGAGCGCCCGTAGGAACGCGATGACGATGGATCTCCAGAGACTGATCACCGAGGTGCACGCCAGGCCCGCGATCTGGGACCAGAAGAACGTCAACTATCACAATCGCGACGTCATCCTGAAGATGTGGCGGGAGATCGCGAGGGCTTGCGAGGTCTCCAGTGAGTATACGCCTCGCTCTCTTCCCACTCTGCTCTCTTCTTTCTGTCTCGTTCGTTCGCGCCTGCGTCGTTCCTCTCTATCGCTCCCTCTCTCCCGTTTCTTTCCCTCTCCCCTTCTTTTTTATACGCTACCACCTTCCAATTGCGAGCACGCACGCCCCTCCTCTTTTTCGTTGCACGATCGACCGGCCCGTGTACCGATCGAGGCTCTCCCTTCCCCGCTCTGGTCGATCGATCGTCGATTCGAGTCGTTAATTTTTATCCTCGTTCTTCTTTACCGAAAGAAACAAGGTTTCAGAGGTTAACTATGATTAATTGTTATCGCCTGTCGTGTACCCCACGCGCACTAAAAAAAACCGAACAAGGGTCATGTTTGACAGACCGACGTCGTTGGAAACATCGATAACTGACACGATTGCTGTACCTGGTTCGGTCGATGCTCCGCGCGAGGACGCATCGGTTCCTCCGGAAACGGACAAACGATTACGTGCAACGAAAAAATCTAACCTACGATACAGCCTAAATTATATATTATTCACTTAGTATTTCACTTTTTGGAAAATTGCGTCCTACAGACCATGCCACATTTACAGTAACATTATTCCCTGTAGCGCATGCTTTCAATTATCTACAAGGAAAATGTATTAAATTGATTAAGCAAATGTTTTGAATGCGACGTCTCGCATAACGCAATAACGACCTCATAGTTCGTGCTTCATTTGTTTATATGAACTTAAAGCAGACCTATCATTACTGTCACATTTCTACCACCGTTTTGAAATAATGCATTAGATAGAATGACGTAATCTAGATGTAACTTCAGAGGTGGATCAAAGAAACACTACGCATCAAAATGTAATAGGTTTTCTTTTATTCAAAAGCAACACCTTTCTTTTTCACTGTTATCTTTTGCATAAATGCAGAGGACGGGTATTCCGTATGAATAAAACAAAGAAATCATTCCATTCTCAAGTATACCTTTTTTACTGACCCACCTTTCAAGTTGCACCTAGGTTACGTCATTCTACTCATATTTATGTCCTTAATCGCACTCAATACATCACAGCTTGTTAGATGGGAATTCCGAACAAAAATAAATCGAACGTGTTCGTAAATCGCATGTAACAATTTGTGTATGTCGGATACAAAAATTCAAACATTTATTCAATTTTCTTCTTTAGATAGGATATATATTTGCGCAATACAGATATAAACGCGCTCGACCATTAATCAGGTTATCACGAGACACATAAAAACTTATCGATAAGACTATATTACGTTTAGAAAAAAAATAATATCTAAATAAAGTAGACGAGTAATTTAATATCATCGAAACATAAATGAAAAAATTAGATTTTTATATTCTTGTTGCGCAAACGTCTTCTATGTGAAGAAGAATATTGAATAGAAACTCGATTCGTAGAAAAACGACCGAGCCAGACGGTTCGCGCATGCTTGCATCTTGGTCGCCGAATTAACGAGTCACTCGTACAAACGGCGATGCTTGCTCGTTTAATCGATACATTTCGTGCGGCCAGATGTAATTGAATTCGGTCAATTCGCAGGACACTCGTGAATATTCCATACGAAAAAGCCTGTGGCCGCGAAAAAACTTGGCTCTTTATTTAATTCGAACGTTTCAGTTTTTATAATCTATGTTACATTTCTACATTCATATGTTCTATTTGTCTACCTTCGATTCAAATCCTAATATACGACTCGTGCGTCACCAAAATCTTCCATGTGGCTGGCTGTACGGCGGTTTGTAAAATTTGTTCGAATAACGATAAATTTCCGTTTCCAGCGGACGTCGCGAAATCGAAATGGAAGCACCTACGGGACAATTTCCGAAACGAGTTGAAGAAAACTTACCGAGGGAAGTGCGACGGTGGCGCCAACGAGCACGACTCGAAGTGGGTTTGGTTCAAGAGCCTGTTCTTTCTGCGGGATCAAATGAACTCACGCGTGATCGGTTGCACGCTTTCGCAAAATTGCACGGCTGCGCTTCGATCATCGCCGGACGAGACGCAAATCGAGCCGCAAATAGACATTCTAGAAGGCCACGAGGAGACACAATTCGACGATCTGGACGGCGATTCGTGCCAGTCCCTTCTATCGAACGACGATGGCCTGCATCAGGTTATGCCCCCGCCTAAGATAAACAAAATCGGTAGAAAGAGGACCCTGATGGACGCGATCGACAACGATTATTCCGAGGTGGACCGTAAGAGGTACGAGTCCCTTCAGAAGAGATTGAGCATATACCAGGAGGAAGAGGACGACACCTATCATTTCCTCATGAGCGTTCGAACCCCTCTAAAGAGTTTGCCGCTCGATCGACAGATGTTCGTTAGATTAAAGATACAGGAGCTCGTTTACAACGAGATCAATTCTCAGAACCAGCAGAGTCGAACGTACGAGGGCTCGCAGGACGTGAAGCCACTGAGAACCGGAAACGCGACCGGAGTCGCTGTGGTTGGATCGGGACCGGGTCCAGGACCTGGCGGAGGCATCGCCGAGTCTGTTATTGCGGCAGGGGGACAAGCTATCGGCGACATGTCCAACCCGGCGTCGTTGCTTCAAAACTGCACGACAGAGGGCTCCAGTGACGATGCCTACTTCGGCTAATTTAATTTACGTTTGTAAGATGTAAGAATTATAATTTTATTAATAGAAAATAAACGATGGTATTTTTTCAGTAATTTTTGACTTTTCCTTTTGCTCTACAATTATCCTGCTTTTTTTATGGAGAAAGTGCCCCATAGGGTAAGAGGATATTAATTTTTTTAAAAGGTTAGAAAGAAACGCGAAATAATTATCAAATGCTTTCTGATGTATGAAAATAAGTATTTCACTTGCGTGATAACGCCTCGCGGGACGTTGATGAAATAACAAATTTATTAGATTGCCTTGTTAAAAGTTTAAAAATCAAGGATCCCCTGGATCGCCTCGTATTATTATTATTCGTGACGTGGGTCAGACCAGAGGTACATTACGCTGCGTAATTATTTCGCGCGCTAATTGGTTCCCCGCCGCCGCTGAAGGGCGTATTTGAGGCCACGGTTTTCTCGTTTCATCGTGATTAAAGAGCGAATCGAGCATACGGAAAAGCCGAGGTTCCTATTATGTATGACCCCATTTAAACTACTCCGACTTCCCCCGTCGTATTCGACGGTTCGTATGTATTATACGTTTATATTAAATTCAAATGAAATATGTACATATACAGGGTGTCTCGAACAAAACGAACCACCTAATTACCGTCGAAATTTTTCTCGTCGAGCTTTCAAGGTCAGCCCTGGTTCTTTTTCGTTCTATTATTTTTCTATTCCACTAATTGAGAAATTTTTTCATTCGATATTACGTAAGACTTGCGATACAATACAGTATACAAGAGTGGTCCATAAATTCACTCGTAACTCGTCATTACAAATACCCCCGAAATCCTACGCACTTTCGAGAAAAAAATTCCTTACCGAAAATCTAATTAGGTGCTTAAATTTTTCGACGAAAAAAAAAAATTTCAAATCGTTCTGGAAAAATTATTTTCGGTCGCGGGGATCATTTACAATCATTTTTGGTGATTAGACATACCCCCGAAATCCTACCAACTTACTAGAAAAAAATTCGAGAAGGTGTGAAATTTTTCGATGAAAAAAAAAATTTCAAATCGTCCTGGAAAAATTATTTTCGGTCGCGGGGATCATTTACAATCATTTTTGGTGAATAGACATACCCCCGAAATCCTGCGCATTTTCTAGAAAAAAATTCGAGAAGGTGTGAAATTTTTCGACAAAATTGGAAACTTTCAAATCGTTCTGGAAAAATTATTTTCGGTTGCGGGGATCATTTACAATCATTTTTGGTGAATAGACATACCCTCGAAATCCTACCCACTTTCTAGAAAAAAATTCGAGAAGGTGTGAAATTTTTCGACGAAAAAAAAAATTTCAAATCGTCCTGGAAAAATTATTTTCGGTTGCGGGGATCATTTACAATCATTTTTGGTGAATAGACATACCCCCGAAATCCTGCGCATTTTCGTGAAAAAAATTCAGTACGAGCGGAACTTTAAACGTTAATGACTTTTTAACGAAGCCTCCATCAACAAATTGGTATTCTTGATTTTCGTCTTATTTTGGCCTCCAGAATCCCCCATTAAAATTTTTCCCAGGGTAGGCCGAACACCCTGTATATGACGACACTTTCGTACTTTAGACGAGAGTTTTTATACGCTCGCAATCAAGAACTCAGGATACGGAAGATGAATAGAACATGAGCGTTAACGAGATGTTCGCGGTAAGAAGTGACCAATTCAAATCCTATTTTTTTCGAGCACGACAAGTATAAGCATTACGCGACTTGAACGCTCTGGACCTCCTAGAATTTTTTTATAAGAGTGAGGTTAGGTAACAAGATATTTTATTGCTATCGAAATTGGCGTCGGGGAACTTTGAAATTATAAGAATCACAAGAATGATAAAAAGTGGAATATTTTATTTTATAAAAACAAAAGAGGAGGATGAAATCGTGGTCGGTGCGGCACGGCTAAATAAAACGGAAAACTGCTACGAACAAACTAATCTCGCTGAACGAGAGCGTTAATCTTCCCATTACACTGGCACTCTACTTTCGTTGCGATGAAATGCATACACACATCGCGTACGCGCGCCGGTCGAAACAGAATGTCTGCTCTCTGACGCAACCGAGCACCATTGTCTCTTTACATGCAACTGCAACGTCTGCAAAGCCTTTCGCGAAGCTATCGAGTATAGGGCGTCCGACAATTCGGTCTCGTTCAACGGGATTTTTCCTTCAAACGCTGTTTCAGGATTTCCTCGATAATCACCGGTGTAGTTTGTTCGCTGCTACAGCCAAACGAGCTGCAACGTCTGTCCCTTTGTAATTAACCCTACCGAGTTGTTACGACAAAGGCTACGGGGGAGGAGTTAAAATATGGAAACGTTTACCATATCCTTCGTTGGAGAACCATCTTGGCAGCCATTTCAAAGTTCTATCGCTCTTATTTCTCATTTCCTTAACAATTTCAAACTAGGCTGCTTATCAACACCAAACTCATAGGTTATATACGAAATACGTAACAATTCTGATGGTGCACAGTCACGACACCTAGCGTCTCTCTGTTTCAGTTGGGCTTGGTTTGTAAGCGTTGCAGTTGCTACATCATTATTTTCTGTTCTTTTCTCAATTATACGTTTTATTATCAAACATGAGTGTTGTTATTAACCTAACCCATACGTGCAATAAACTCAATTTGTAGTTAGTATTTCCCAGAAAGCTAGAAACTTTCGAATCTTAACTGCAAACATAACCTAGACGCCACAACCGTGTACCATCAAATTCAAGACAATACTTTTCACCATAGGTGTAAAACAATTAATTCTCAAGTTGAAACGTTCAAGGAAATAAATTTTAATAAGATCAATGAATTTTCACGTTTACAATTGTCCTGTAAAAAGTTGTACAGCTTTGGTCTGGCAGTGAACGCGTTAAAGAATCAATTTAGCCTTATTTCGCGACAGTTTCGATCCCGTCGAGCGAATTGGTCTATCGATCGAGCAAGGTAAACTGTCGAGCATTCCCATACATCGTGTATCGGTGGATAGAACAGAAGGGTCTATTCTAATGTGCCGTGTGTATCTGTCACGATGCATATTCTACCGACGTTGCACGGACACCATAGAGTGCACCGACGTTCTATAGGACTGCATTGTACGCAACACGGCGAGATAAAGTCGTTCGAATCGAGTTTGCGCCAGTTCTCCCGGGTCTGTTCGCCGGCGGCTCGTACGTCGCGGTTATTGGACATCGAAGAAACACGACGGACCGTTTTGAATTTAATTAAACCAGGTTATTAGGTATGTTGCGGACTGTCAGCCAACAGGAGGGGGGGAGAAACCGTGATCGGAACGGTTCGCCGCGGCTCCAACGTTTTAATCGTTTCCAATAAATTTTCTGCCGCGCACGGCAGAATGAAATACTTTTCAACGCGTCGATTATTCAGTTCCCGCCGACTAAAGCGAAACGCCAACTATAGCACGGTTAGTTCGTCGATAATAAAATATATTCGTAAATGTAAAAATAAGAAATCTAACCTTTCTGTACACCTCGTGTTCCTTTCAAACGAAGTATTCCATCGTATTTCAGGTCACTTTTTATCGTTCCACAGGCTGAAATAAAACCGTTTCTTTTCCCGTTCTGCTGTCACGTCCGCCATTTTACCGCGATTCCATAGCAGACGATCAGCCCCGCCGCGAGGCTTTCGAACGACGCGGACGCCCGGTACGCGAGACGATGCGTTCTCAGACGAGGAAAGGAATCGGCGGATATTCTTAATAACCGAAAAAAAGGGGCGGGGTGGCGAAATTAGAGAAGTCTTACTCGGTTCCCGGGACTGCTCGCCGCAACCGTCTCGGCCCTCCTTTTCTCCCGGGCGTTTCCACGGGAATTCGCGAAATAACGAGGTAACTTTTCGTTCGGATAGAAAAGCCGCGTCGTCTAGACGGGATGCACTATATATTTGCACGGTATATTGCACCGGTTGAATAGCTTATTCGAAAGTCTGCCTCCGTAGTCTGCTCAACAGACCACTCGGTTTTTCCATACAAAGAGGATTAGCATCGTCCTCCTTTGTCTTTCATCTCTATCTCTCCCTTCCACGTCCACGTTTCCCGTCTCTATCGCGTTGTTTCCTCCCGGTCTTTCTTTGTCAACGAGCCATACCTTCGCTACACGCTCTTCCGACCCATGACCTGTCCTGCCCCCTTTCTTCGCTCTCGTTGCATCATCCGCATCGCCCGCATTATTGGTCGCGTTCCGATAATAAAACCATTCAAACCGATCCGTTCCTCGCGATGTACAATTCGAACACACCGTTATTAGAACACCGTCCTCCTCCTTTCCTATTCCTTCTCGCGATGGAAATCGACCAAGAAACTCGAAGATAGTTCGTCCATTAATAGTATCAACACTTTGACTGCCACGCCACTCATATATGAGTGGCAGGATTTATTACTATGATACTAGAAAAATTAATTCTCAAGTTTGGATAGAATTTGTAGATCTTAACAAGGTTACGAAAATAAGTAGCGAAGTAAATGTTAGGTTATGTAGCTTACAATGGTCTAAAATCAAAATTTTAGTTTTGCGGAGTATTATATGGTTTTGATCTGGCAATGAATGTGTTAAATCGTTCCTACATTAATAATGGTGTCAATTTTTAAGGAAAATATTCGATGTAATTGGTTGTTCTATCGTTACCCGTATATGAGTAACAGAATTGACCACTATGATACTAGACAAATTAATTCTCAAGTTTGGATAGAATTTGTAGATCTTAACAAGGTTACGAAAATAAGTAGCGAAGCAAATGTTAGGTTATGTAGCTTACAATGGTCTAAAATGAAAATTTTACTTTTGAGGAATATTATACGGTTTTGATCTGGCAGTGAAGGTGTCAAATCGTTCCTACATTAATAATGATGTCAATTTTTAAGTCAAATATTCGATATCCGGCATTTCGACGGAATTGTTTGTTCCATAGTCGAAAGTCGTGACTTCGTGTCATGTTGGAAACAGAGCTTAATAATACCCGCGATCGATGGCAT